TAAAGAACTACGCAAGGTGGAACTTTATCTTATGATAAAGCTCTACGCAAGGTGGAACTTTATCTTATGATAAAGCTCTACGCAAGGTGGAACTTTCTCTTATGATAAAGCTCTACGCAAGGTGGAACTTTATCTTATGATAAAGCTCTACGCAAGGTGGAACTTTCTCTTATCATGATAAAGCTCCACACAAGGTGGAACTTTCTCTGAAGAGAAGGTTGTCGTGAACCAGTGTTACCACTGGAGCACAGTAGAGGTGTGTCATACACTGTCAAAAAATGAGTTAACACTTGTATGTACGTAAGTCTTACACTGGAAATTACACTCACTTGCACTGGACAACGAGGGAGAAGTGTGGCAGGTTGGTGGTGTGTTGGGGGGAATTGACCCCCACCATTACCCCGTTACCACAGCTTCCCCCTCACTCAACCACCACTATCTTCTCTCACCACCACCACAACCTTCTTTCACCACCACCACAACCTTCTTTCACCACCACCACAACCTTCTCTCACTCTCAGCACTGCTGCTCAACTAACCGTATATAATACACAATACAAGAAAAAGATAATATAACCACCGTAGATAATCCATCGTCATCAGAACGGCAGTTTTATGACGCATTTCGAAAGGTCTTGTGTTTCCGCACATTCTCAACTGCTTCCTGTCTTGTTGTACGAGGTATGGCAACACCATCAAGATATACAGATACACAGAGATCACTATTATGGCGGCTTCCAAGCATTTACACCTATGTAGATCACTTCCCTGATAGATAACTCATCATTATTACCCTCCATAAGGTGTACCTGGTTACTTCTGTGATGTACGTAGGCACTGTTAAGATCCAACCCCTCAAGGGAAGTTCCTTGACGCTGGTGAGGGGCTCTTGATCTAGGGAACTGGATATGTTGTCCAGTTCCCTGAATTGAGCCTGAATGCCTTCCAACCTCCGCCCCACAGGCGCTGTATAAAACCTACAGGTTTAGCGCTCCCTCATGATAATGATAATAATGTTAAGATCCAAGAAGGAAAGGTCACAATATTGTGACTGTAACTTGACAATGGTCGAGGACTGACCGAAATGTCGTCATAAAATTTCGCTCCTGAGTGCGGGTTTTTGGCGAATTATTTAGATCCTTAAAACTACAAGAATACTTATATGTTCACACATGTTATAAATGTAAATATATGTCAAGAACTTTCGTCAGTAGTCATGTATACTGCTAAGTATACCTACTCCACGACCGTCCGACTCCCCAGGGGTTGAGTATGTTAGGGGCCACAGACGCTGATCTCTAGTTTCGAAAGGTACGCCATGAGTGCCAGGGAGAGTCAGTGTTGCCTCTCTCTCTTTCTCTCTCTCTAACTTAGGTATGTACAACTAAAGCTGGATTAAGATTTTATAGGCCCCTGGGCTGCAGGTACTGTGAGGCCCTCCAGCTGGCGGAGACCCCTGGGCTACAGGTACTGTGAGGCCCTCCAGCTGGCGGAGACCCCTGGGCTACAGGTACTGTGAGGCTCTCCAGCTGGTGGAGACCCCTGGGCTACAGGTACTGTGAGGCTCTTCAGCTGGCGGAGACCCCTGGGCTGCAGGTACTATGAGGCCCTCCAGCTGGCGGAGGCCCCTTGACTGCAGATCCTGGAGGCTCTCCAGCTGGCAGAGGCCCCTGGGCTGCAGCTCCTGGGGGCCCTCCAGCTAGCGGAGACCCCTTGGCTGCAGCTCCTGGAAGCCCTCCAGCTGCCAGAGGCTCCTGGGCTGCAGCTCCTAGAGGCCTTCCAGCTGGTGGAGGCCCCTGGGCTGCAGCTTCTGGAGGCCCTTCAGCTGGCGGAGGCCCCTGGGCTGCAGCTTCTGGAAGCCCTCTTGCTGGCGGAGGCCCCTTGGCTGCAGATACTGCAGGTCCTCCAGCTGGCAGAGGCCCCTGGACTACAGCTCCTGGAGGGCCCTCCAGCTGGCGGAGGCCCCTGGGCTGCAGCTCCTGGAGGCTCTCCAGCTGGCGGAGGCCCCTTGGCTGCAGCTCCTGGGGGGCCCTCCAGCTGGCGGAGACCCCTGGGCTACAGGTACTGTGAGGCTCTCCAGCTGGTGGAGACCCCTGGGCTACAGGTACTGTGAGGCTCTCCAGCTGGCGGAGACCCCTGGGCTACAGGTACTGTGAGGCTCTCCAGCTGGCGGAGACCCCTGGGCTGCAGGTACTATGAGGCCCTCCAGCTGGCGGAGGCCCCTTGACTGCAGATCCTGGAGGCTCTCCAGTTGGCAGAGGCCCCTGGGCTGCAGCTCCTGGGGGCCCTCCAGCTGGCGGAGGCCCCTTGGCTGCAGCTCCTGGAAGCCCTCCAGCTGGTGGAGGCCCCTGGGCTGCAGCTTCTGGAGGCCCTTCAGGTGGCGGAGGCCCCTGGGCTGCAGCTTCTGGAAGCCCTCCTGCTGGCGGAGGCCCCTTGGCTGCAGCTACTGCAGGCCCTCCAGCTGGCAGAGGCCCTTGGCTGCAGCTTCTGGAAGCCCTCCAGCTGACGGAGGCCCCTGGACTACAGCTCCTGGAGGGCCCTCCAGCTGGCGGAGGCCCCTGGGCTGCAGCTCCTGGAGGCTCTCCAGCTGGCGGAGACCCCTGGGCTACAGGTACTGTGAGGCTCTCCAGCTGGTGGAGACCCCTGGGCTACAGGTACTGTGAGGCTCTCCAGCTGGCGGAGACCCCTGGGCTACAGGTACTGTGAGGCTCTCCAGCTGGCGGAGACCCCTGGGCTGCAGGTACTATGAGGCCCTCCAGCTGGCGGAGGCCCCTTGACTGCAGATCCTGGAGGCTCTCCAGTTGGCAGAGGCCCCTGGGCTGCAGCTCCTGGGGGCCCTCCAGCTGGCGGAGGCCCCTTGGCTGCAGCTCCTGGAAGCCCTCCAGCTGGTGGAGGCCCCTGGGCTGCAGCTTCTGGAGGCCCTTCAGGTGGCGGAGGCCCCTGGGCTGCAGCTTCTGGAAGCCCTCCTGCTGGCGGAGGCCCCTTGGCTGCAGCTACTGCAGGCCCTCCAGCTGGCAGAGGCCCCTTGGCTGCAGCTTCTGGAAGCCCTCCAGCTGACGGAGGCCCCTGGACTACAGCTCCTGGAGGGCCCTCCAGCTGGCGGAGGCCCCTGGGCTGCAGCTCCTGGAGGCTCTCCAGCTGGCGGAGGCCCCTTGGCTGCAGCTCCTGGGCCCCCTCCAGCTGGCAGAGGCCCCTGGACTGCAGCTCCTGGAGGCCCTCCAATTGGCAGAGGCCCCTGGGCTGCAGCTTCTGGAAGCCATCCAGCTGGCTGAGGCCCCTGGGCTGCAACTCCTGGAAGCCATCCAGCTGGCGAAGGGCCATGGGCTGCAGCCCATAAAGCCCACACCTTGATCCGGCTCTGCGTACAACTGTTGTGTTCTTTCAGTAACTAGCTGAGTGATGTGCACTCAAAAGTTTTTGGCTTTTCACTCTGTAAATGTTACACACAGTATTTTATTACCTTACCTGTATACTGCAGAAAAGAAAAATTATTATTTTTTTTAATACGCTGGCTGTCTCCCACCGAGGCAGGGTGACCCGAAAAAGAAAAAACTTTCACCCTCATTCACACTATCACTGTCTTGCCAGAGGCGCGCAGATACAACAGTTGAGATGTCACTCTAAACAGCAGCTATCCCTCCAGGACTCAGGGCCGGCTAACCGGTTTCCCTGAATCCCTTCACAAAATATTACCCTGCTCACACTCCAACAGCTCGTCAAGTCCCTAAAAGCATTTGTGAAGTGGCTTGAATAACAGCGATTTAACATGTTAAATATCTACACTGCTTTCACAATACGTTGTTGGAATAATGGTAAATATGTTAATTGTTTATGTTGTGCATTTTATGTATCTTCACGAGTCATGTGTGTGATTCACACATTTGAGACGACGTTTCGCACGGGCAGACCTCATTCAGATCTTGATAAACATTTTGAGCACAAACAAGCTTGCAGTGTTGCAGGAAAGATAATGAAGTCCGAGCAAACACGTCCAGAGTAGCAAAAACACTCACTCTGACCCTGTTTGCTTGGACTTCATCCTCCTTTCTGCAACATTGGAAGCTCCTGATGATGAGTTGATTGTAACACGAAAGGCCTAGAGCTATCTTTCAACTCTCCCCGTGGTTGTTTGCGGTTATATATATATATATATATATATATATATATATATATATATATATATATATATATATATATATATATATATATATATATATATATATATATATATATATATATTAAATACTTCTTGATGTTCTGCTTGCCAATCTGATATATTGGAAGGTATTGCATGATGGTACAATACTGGTATTGTGAAGCCAAGCACTGTGTATGGGTATAAAACTGGCACTGTGTATCCAGGAACTGTGTGACGCTACAACACTGGTGAAGACTCACTGAGACTCGACTCTGGTGTGCCAGGTCTCCCAGCCAGGGCAGAGACAGATTAAGATTTTGTAGGTCCCTGGGCTACAGGTACTGTAAGGCTCCCGGTGATATTTTCGTAAGGAAAATTAAATAATCACAACAGTCAAGAGTTCATCATGTACGTGATGTAATAACATACTGTAATTATAAACTTACAGTAGTAACTGTCAACACTTTTCACTTAATCTCTGGAGGCCCTCCAACTGGCGGAGGCCCCTGGACTGCAGCCTCTGAAGCCCATGTTTTGATCCGGCCAGAGCTTCCATTCCTTAGCCAGGAATGGAAGCTCTGGCTAATGTAATGAGAGCTTCAACTCTCACAATTCAAGACTTGATCGGCATGTTCAACTCAGCTGACCTTTCAACCCGTAAAACATATTTACTCTAAAATACTTTTGACTGCGTCAACGAAAAGCAAATACGGGACTTTGTATTATTTATACTTGTATATCTTCATGCCTCTGTTTATAAACGCTGTTAATGTATTGTATATAAATATTTTGATGGATATAAGAGTTGTGACACTTGGTTGTAAGTATTAAGTGTCTTTTGTTCTTTTTTTTAATATATTAGAGCGAGAGAGAGAGAGCGAGGGAGCAAGCCAAACAGAAGAAGAAGAAGGAAGACGAGGATAGGACCATTGTGATCAAGCCATCCACCTTTGTTACGACTATCCAGGGAGCGTGCGAACAGTATCAGGGTGAGTAGGTATAAGTAAGTTTACCTAGGTGCAGGTACACATAAGTACAATTATCATACATAGTTTAACATGTAAAAATATCAAAGAAATAAAACCTGAGCGCTTTCTTGTGCTAACACACAGATGTGTAGCATATGAAAGCCCTCATGGTGGTATTTTTGCATATTTCCAATCACAGGTTTTATTGTGATTTCTTCCATATATAAATAATATATATAATATGAAATATGAATTGTAGTATAGATGTATCAAGTGTGAATTCTGGACAGATGTGTGGGCAGGAAGGGACATAGAGAATAACCCCGAGGAACACCCTGAGAAGGACATGATCGAGGGTGAGCAGAGAGCCAGAGTCGAGGTGGAGATCCGTCGACAAGTGGACTACCTCATGAGACAAGAACTACAGCGACTGAAAGAGGTTTGTGTCACCAAGTGTTTTAGAGTCTGAAGGACGCCACGTCCCTTCGCTAGTGGACAGTGACACTAGTATGCACAAGAAACGTTTGTTAGCACGTTTCGAGCTCAGAAGAGCTTTTCATCTTATGAAAAAGCTCTTCTTACAGTGAAATGTTTCCAGATAAAGGCTTGTCTGCAATAATGTGACTTTGTCAATATATTGATTTGTAAATCAATCTTAAGCTAGAGAAGAGAATAAGTTTAGTGGTCTGCTGTATAACTTTATCAAGTGAATAGGACCAGAAATACAGTGTACAGTGCATACAGAGTACACACGTTAAGGAATACACACTTGGGCGAGTCGAGAGATATTATGTGTATCATTACATAATTCACCGTGTAAGAATACCTTCCATCCAACACTTAATACTTGCGGCAGGTGTTGGAGTTTTCGAACACAATGAGATTTCGCCCAGAATATGACTTACGGAATGTGACTAACGCAGAGATACCTTTGATATACCTTTGATGAGTTCCTAAAGTTTTTCTACTCCCGGAGCCCGGCCATGGGCCAGGCTCGTCTGGTACTTGCCTGGTTACCCAGGCTATTGCTGCTGATGGCCCCCCAACCCCACATGTCCATCACAGCCTGGTTGATATGGTACCTAGTGAAGATACATGGGGAGTGGCAGCTAATACTGAATTGGCGTCTCAGAACACCTGTTGTCCCTGTTCACCTAGTAGCAAATAGGTACCTGGGTGTTAGTCGACTATTGGGGTCGTATCCTGGGGAAGAACCTAGTAAGTTTATTTAGGTACAGGTACACATAGCTACAGTTGCTATACATAATGTAAATTACCTAGAATAACCCATAATAAGGTCAAAGTGACTTATTTCCACTACTTGGCTGTCCTGACTTACCCTGAGTTTTTAACCCTGAGGATTAGTGATCCCTAAGGGGTTAAAGTCTTCTCCCTCATTTTTCTACATCAAGCCAGTCTCAGGGGAGGTCCCTTGATGCCGGCGAGGGGCTCTTGATCCAGGGAACTGGACCTGTGCTGCAATCCCATGAATCAAGCCTGGATATCTTCCATTTTACAGTGGAGATAAATAGACGGAGAAATAGACATGATAAAGCCCACTGTGTGGGCGAAACGTTGTCAATAAAGGATGGCATTATACTGCATTTGTGTCTATTTTTCCATGACCCCTACGGGTTTAACTGTCCCCCATGAGTATAATAATAATCATAATAATAATAATAATAATAATAATAATAATAATAATAATAATAATAACAGTAATAATAATAAAAACAGTAATAATAATGATTATTATAATAAAGCATCGAGTCTATAATTCCAGTAACTGGTAACTAACTCTTTATTGAGGTTACAGGATGTTGATGGGGAGAAGAGAGGAGCTAAGAAGAAGAAAAGAGTTAAGAAGGGAGGCAAGAAAGGAAGGAAGAGGAAGGAGAAGGATCTGACCCCTGACAGGACAACAGAATCTCTCTTTGAGGAGATGGTCCTCAACGGTGAGTGGCGTTGATCTACGCTAAGCTGTGGGCGTTTTGGCGTGGATCTACGCTAAGCTGTGGGCGTTTTGGCGTGGATCTACGCTAAGCTGTGGGCGTTTTGGCGTGGATCTACGCTAAGCTGTGGGCGTTTTGGCGTGGATCTACGCTAAGCTGTGGGCGTTTTGGCGTGGATCTGCCCTAAGCTGTGGGCGTTTTGGTGTGGATCTACGCCAAGCTGTGGGCGTTTTGGTGTGGATCTACGCCAAGTTGTGGGCGTTTTGGGATACACGTTAAGCTGCGAGTGTTTCGGCGTGGATCTACGCTAATCTGTGGGCGTTTTGGCGTGGATATACGCTAGGCTGTGGGCGTTTTGGCGTGGTTGTACACTTAGCTGTACTCACCTAGTTGTGGTTGAAGGGGTTGAGACTCAGCTCTTAGCTCTGCCTCTTCACTGATCGCTGTGAACATTTTGGCGTGGTTCTATAGACGCTATGGGGTAGGGAAAGACCCCCTCCCACTTAGGAGATCAAAGTTTCGTTGGAACAATGTTTCGCTCTGTTCGAGCTGTATCAGAAAATGATAATGTTCCAGTAGAGCGAAAGGTTCTGCTAAATGTGTCGTATCCTTTGATAATGTTGGCAGTACGTCGCTCAGGTCCGGGGCTGGGGACTGTTTTGATCAATACACAAATAACCCGCACGTAGGACAGAGGAACTCACGACAACGTTTCGGTCCGACTTGAACCATTTACAAAGTGAACAATAAAATGGTATAAAATACCGACAGGTTGTTTAGGTAAGACACATATGCAACAGTTAGGTATCTTTATTTCGAAACGTTTCGCCTACACAGTAGGCTTCTTCAGTCGAGTACAGCAAAGCTGATAGAAGCAGAAGAGACTTGAAGACGATGTAATCAGTCCATCACCCTTGAAGTTTTGAGGTGGTCAGTCCCATATTATTCCAGACAATGGAACAATACTCTTCTCCAGACTGAGGGACTGACCACCTCAAAACTTTAAGGGTGATGGACTGATTACATCGTCTTCAAGTATCTTCTGCTTCTATCAACTTTGCTGTACTCGACTGAAGAAGCCTACTGTGTAGGCGAAACATTTCGAAATAAAGATACCTAACTGTTGCATTTACAAAGTCATGCTAACACTGGACTGAGGGAGGACAATGACGGGGTATTTGTGTATTGTTCCAGTCTATGCTGCTAGGTACATCATGGGGAACAAAATTTAGTATTGCCGAGGTGTGCTACAATCCTATTCTTAATAGATACATTGTGGGAATAAAATCTATTTGTTTTCTCGTCACGTTCCATCACATAGGAACGTGAGTTTAAAACCTGTCAGCATCAGCTGTGAGACTTCAGTTGGGAGATGATAAGCTGAGGAGCCGTAGTTTGTAGTTGAGGAGCTGCAGTTGTGTAGCTGAGGAAGTGTGTTTGTTGCAGGCATCCTTCTTTCCTTTGCAGGTATCATCAAGAAGGTGCCTGAAGTGCGTCTTAGTGAGCTGTACGGTGATGTGAGTCTAGTGGGATGTGAGACCTTAAGCAATACTAAGTATCCTCAGCCCAGCCTCGGGGATATTAAGAACATCCTCACTGAGTACGTCGTCCTCCCGCTAGGTATGTGTCTTAATAATAATAATAATAATAATAAATAATAATAATAATAATAATAATAATAATAATAATAATAATAATTTATTTCTATCAGTACATGATACAACTTATACAGACCATAGCTGATATCAGTGACATACAGTGCAGAGAATTTCGGGCAAATTAGGTCAGTTTTGTCCCCAGGATGCAACCCACACCAGTCGACTGACACCCAGGTACCTACTTACTGCTAGGTGAACATGGGCAACAGGTGTCTTGAGGAAACACGTCCTAATGTTTCCACCCGTATCGGGTGGAAACAGTCCCTCAGCCTTGGTGCAAGGTAATCAGTCCCTCAGCCTTGGTGCAAGGTAATCAGTCCCTCAGCCTCGGTGCAAGGTAATCAGTCCCTCAGCCTTGGTGCAAGGTAATCAGTCCCTCAGCCTTGGTGCAAGGGAATCAGTCCCTCAGCCTCGGTACAAGGTAATCAGTCCCTCAGCCTTGGTGCAAGGTAATCAGTCCCTCAGCCTTGGTGCAAGGTAATCATTCCCTCAGCCTTGGTGCAAGGTAATCAGTCCCTCAGCCTTGGTGCAAGGTAATCAGTCCCTCAGCCTTGGTGCAAGGTAATCAGTCCCTCAGCCTTGGTGCAAGGTAATCATTCCCTCAGCCTTGGTGCAAGGGAATCAGTCCCTCAGCCTCGGTGCAAGGTAATCAGTCCCTCAGCCTTGGTGCAAGGTAATCAGTCCCTCAGCCTTGGTGCAAGGTAATCAGTCCCTCAGCCTCGGTGCAAGGTAATCAGTCCCTCAGCCTTGGTGCAAGGGAATCAGTCCCTCAGCCTCGGTGCAAGGTAATCATTCCCTCAGCCTTGGTGCAAGGTAATCATTCCCTCAGCCTTGGTGCAAGGTAATCATTCCCTCAGCCTTGGTACAAGGTAATCAGTCCCTCAGCCTTGGTGCAAGGCAATCAGTCCCTCAGCCTTGGTACAAAGTAATCAGTCCCTCAGCCTTGGTGCAAGGTAATCATTCCCTCAGCCTTGGTGCAAGGCAATCAGTCCCTCAGCCTTGGTATAAAGTAATCAGTCCCTCAGCCTTGGTGCAAGGTAATCATTCCCTCAGCCTTGGTGCAAGGCAATCAGTCCCTCAGCCTTGGTACAAAGTAATCAGTCCCTCAGCCTTGGTGCAAGGCAATCAGTCCCTCAGCCTTGGTACAAAGTAATCAGTCCCTCAGCCTTGGTGCAAGGTAATCATTCCCTCAGCCTTGGTGCAAGGCAATCAGTCCCTCAGCCTTGGTACAAAGTAATCAGTCCCTCAGCCTTGGTGCAAGGTAATTATTCCCTCAGCCTTGGTGCAAGGCAATCAGTCCCTCAGCCTTGGTACAAAGTAATCAGTCCCTCAGCCTTGGTGCAAGGTAATCATTCCCTCAGCCTTGGTGCAAGGCAATCAGTCCCTCAGCCTTGGTACAAAGTAATCAGTCCCTCAGCCTTGGTGCAAGGTAATCATTCCCTCAGCCTTGGTGCAAGGCAATCAGTCCCTCAGCCATGGTACAAAGTAATCAGGTGGCCCGGTGACCTGGTGGCTAAAGCTCCCGCTTCACACACGGAGGGCCCGGGTTCGATTCCCGGCGGGTGGAAACATTTCGACACGTTTCCTTACACCTGTTGTCCTGTTCACCTAGCAGCAAATAGGTACCTGGGTGTTAGTCGACTGGTGTGGGTCGCATCCTGGGGGACAAGATTAAGGACCCCAATGGAAATAAGTTAGACAGTCCTCGATGACGCACTGACTTTCTTGGGTTATCCTGGGTGGCTAACCCTCCGGGGTTAAAAATCCGAACGAAATCTTATCTCTTATCTTATCATTCCCTCAGCCTTGGTGCAAGGCAATCAGTCCCTCAGCCTTGTTGCAAGGGAATCAGTCCCTCAGCCTTGGTGCAAGGGAATCAGTCCCTCAGCCTTGGTGCAAGGTAATCAGTCCCTCAGCCTTGGTGCAAGGTAATCAGTCCCTCAGCCTTGGTGCAAGGTAATCAGCC